TGGTTAAAACTCAAGACAGCGTAAGCACAATTATTCCAGATATTACAGGTTCCGACAAGTAAAGAATTTTTATAGTCCTGCCACAAGTAAGCTATATATTGATTATTAAACATTTGTGACATGTTATAACGAGCAAAAATTAAAAAAAACTAATAGGTAGGTTTAAAATTAATAAATACAAATGTATTCTGACAGTGAATGAGTTAATTATGTTTTCTATTTGCAAAATTCCTTAACCTTAACACAAAATAAGAAAAAAAGTGAATTTTTAAAGAAATTTGCGGGATTTCCCGGGATAAGAAAAATTTCCCGGGATATTTCCCGGGTTAAAAAAACAACCGGGATACCGGGATCCCGGTTGAGAAACCCTAGTAGTATATATTAGATAATGATAAAATTGATAAATTACATTATTTAAATTATGAAATACAAACTTCAACCCTACAGAATGTCACTCTTGATAGAAACATTTGAGATCATGCATACAATTCAGTGTGCCACTGCCTGTAATTATGTGCTGACATCTTATGAATTTTTCAGTCTCAACATTCATCTGACTGTGTATAAATTTTATGTAAAAAATATAACAAATGATGTAATTTTTAAAATCAATATTACATATAACTTTTCACAGAATAATTAAATTCATTATTTAATTAGAATTTTTTCAGCAGTGGTAAAAGCCATTACTGTAATATTCAATTGATATTTGACATCCATTCTTTTTGTATTTACTATTATTATATCATTTATTATACATTATTTCCCCTCTATTAATTATACATTAATAAATAATTATAACAATTATTTCAGACAAAACATAAAAACAAAAAAGCCAAATGTATTTTAAGAACATATATTAATACGAGATTCTAAAGGGTGCAATTTAGTAATTAAATTAATTAGTTAAAGTGGAAAAACCCCACTTCCTTTTTCTCACCCACTTGCGATATTCTGATAGATAAAACTGATCAAATATCAGTCTAAGTCACTAGGGTGTTTGGACTTATGTTTACAATCTTAGTCAAGACAGTCGATTATTAATGATGGGATAAACTGTCAAACGGATGGAATTATGAGGTAAGAGAAGTCATCAAAATGGCTAGAAAATAGCAATGATTCTGCCAAATTGTCCAGTTCTTGACAGCCCGTATCTGTCAAACCAGGACATGACTCAAACTTAGAACACATTAAATCAAAGTCACCTGAGCCAATTCTCACGCATAACACACATAAAAAGGGGTTGCATACAATCATTGGGGTGGACATCCTAAGAGCCTAGACGAAGCTCTACCCGCCAGCTCCCCAACAGCCTACAGACGCTAGATTCTTGGCCAGATCCACAATCGTCTCCCTGACATCGCATAGAAGAATCTAGGAACTATGAAGTGTCATCTCAAGGTATTAACTTTAAACAGTTTATGTAAATGCTCTCTCTCAGTCCATTAGTTGTTAATTAGATATAGCATGTAACCTTCCCCTATGTTTTTAACCTCTTTTTGTTTTATATTAAAATTTTGTTATATGTCAACCAGTCAACCTGTCTTATGTTGGATAATGGCTCCTATCAACTTATCCGTGACCTACCCACTCAATTATTCTAAGACCCTCCTATTAAGCCATCCCATCCAGTGACCCAGTGAGCAGGTCTTGTGACTCGATGACTAAAGGGCTAACCCTCAACCGTATTCTCACATTAATAATTTCATGAATTTACACTGCACAAGATTTATTAAATTATTATAATGCATATGTATTAATAAATTATCATTATAATATACACTGAATAATTTATATACACCACTAAAATATTTGTTAAAAATATAATAGACTTTATTGACACTCATTGACAAAAAGTTATGCGCTGTGAGAATTGAGAGGGGATCTTACATATCCATAACAGGCCATTCCCCAAAAATTCTTGGAATTTTTTACTCATCCAAATTCATTTCTGGGTTACCAGAGTGGTAGGCTGACACTTTAATCACTTGGCCATCCAGCAGTCTGATTACTGTAAAATTCAGTATACAGCTATTTCTCAGACAGGTATATAAATGACTATAGTTGTGGTTGAAGTGTTTACAAGGTAATGCCACCAGTGCCTTAAATCGTTACTTCAATATCCTATAAAAACAAAAACTTGCAGAGACACAGTGTGTTCAGAATTTTCAATGTATTTGTTGTTTAGGTCTTCAAATGCCAGACATGTCTATAAGGGTAACCAGAAAAAGAGCATGTGAAAAACACACACACAAAAATTGCACACAGGAAAAATGCCCACTGTCACATGCATGCACACAGGAAATTAGTCACACCAAAAAATGCCCACAGAAAAGTTCTTGTATTCACAATATTACAAAGTAATAAAATTACAAATTACAAAGTATCTAAATTAAATATGTACTCTACATACTAAAAGTGCAAAGATGCAATATTCTTATTGACATAAGAATTATATGTTTTTTTAAAGGAAACTATAATAAATTGAAAGTTGTGTGTGTGTGTGTGTGTGTGTGTGTGTGTGTTTCTCTTTGTGTGGGTTGATGATGTGATCATTCATTGTCAAAAAAATGCTTTATTTTTAAATAACTATTGTTTAAAAACAATAGTTATTTAAAAATAAAACGTTTTTTCCATAATGAGAGAGGAGAGCAGAAACAAATGAACTATATCAAAAAACAACTGACAAAGAATGATCACATCACCATCCCATTTATTATTAGGGTTAGATAGTCCTTTGTTGTGATCGCTAGGTGCACTAAGTATATTTGTTAAAATACAAGTAAAGAAAAATTTACTTATGAAATACAGTAAGACCCCGCTTAACTCGGGATGCGTTCCTAGACAACAAAGTGCTAAGCGAAACAGTGTTAAACGAGGTCATTTTAATATAGAGTAAATAGGGATAGGGGAACATATGACCGAAAATTTAAAAAAATTTTTACTTTAATTTTAAGTTATTTTTATATTAATTTGTATAATAATATATGTTAAATAACACAAACATATGCACACAGAAATGTATAATAATATATTAATTAGTTCATTTTTTGTGACAAAGGTACTGACTTTTCTGAAAATCTTGTTTTTTTTGCAATAAAGTCATGAAGTTTCATTTGTTGCTTTTTTCTCTCCTTAAGCAAATGTCAGTAGCAGAAGATTGCATCCAAAATGCCTCGTTTTGCTTTTGCACTCCTTTCAAAATCTAGATCATTCGCTACAATTTGATCAATGATTTTGGTTATCATTACCAAACTTTTACTAAGGAAATCTGTAGAGAAATTTTTTGGGTTCTTCATTTTCAGAATCTCTGATTTCCGGTTCTACATGAATTCCTTGTTCTGCCAGTTCTTGAAGTCATCGTTGGTAAGGCTCTTACCAGAAACCTGTAGTAACCCCAATATCCTGCTCATCTACATCTCCTGTATTGATTAAGTTGACAACTTTGTCAACTTAACGATACAGCGATAGGCTCTTCTCGATGAGAATTCTTGAATACCTTCAGCCATAACTTCTTCCACACTCCGTTCATGCATCTATCAGTTAATTCTTGCCAAGCCAAGTCGCTATTTCCTATGGCATCCATGATGTTATATTTTTTCCAAAATTGCATCAAACAAACATAGATTTAAGGAAAGTACAGCACTACGATGAATTGCCATCTTTTGCTAATTGGTTCGTGTTTGGGAATAATCGTATTATATATGAATCAATGAAATACCACGTTAATTTGAATCAGCATAAATTTTGAGCGTTTTTTAGGCATCAAGCAGACTGCGTTATACTGAATCAGCGTTAAGTGAGGCAGCGTTATGCGGGGTCTTACTTAACGCTGATTGCAAGATGCTTGATTGCAAGATTGCTGATTGCTTTACTAACGCTTAATGCAAGATCTGCAGTTTAAAATAAGTAATTCTAAACTGAAGATCTTGCATTAGCACACTAACATCAATGGATTTGTTTCTCTGTAACAGAGAAGCATGGACTGTTATGGACTGGCAGCATATCATCTTTAGCAAAGAATCTCAATTCTGTTTAGGAACAGATGGCCACTGTGTGTTAGAGGACCACTGTTGAGTGTACTTCAATTCTACCTCTACTGTTGAGCAGCACACTGACTTCACTCCTGGCATGCTGGTCTGGGGAGCAATCTCGTATGACAGTCATCCATAGGGGGTGGCACTAGAGACAGGGAGGCAGAGTGATACTACATTAAGGAAATCTGCACTTTCTCCTGTAGTACAGCTTTCATAGCAGCAGTTTCAGAGTACAGCTGAAAACAGTCATTTTCCTGTGAGATAATACTTGGCCACATACAGTTGGGGCTTTCCATGAATATCTCCATCAACACTGCAAACCTTCGCCTGCACAGTCTCCAGATTTGTCATTTGTTGAGCATCCAAGAGACCAGATGGAATGCAATGTTTGGTCATCTAGGAGTGTGAAAGATCTGGACAGGCAGTTGCAACACCTGTGGCAAAACTGTCACAGGATGGTATAGGTGTCTATGCCTCAATACCTAACTCTGCTCTGTCCTGTATGTGAATTAAAAAAATTCTAAATTTTTTCTTTAAGACATACTTTATCCATTAAATCCGGATCTATTAAATTGAGAGCCTACTTTAAAAATGATTGAACTTTACTTTGTAAGATTTTAGTTAAGATATATAAATGTACAAACAATTTAATAAAGATACAGAAAAGCAATAAGCAAACAAAAGTTAAATAAATTTTGATGTTTTTATGAAACTACAATGTTATATACATAAATTTTATATATTAAATGGCAATATGAATACAATCTTTCATTTCATTGAAAACTATAATAAATCTTTGTATGCTTGAAATATTACAAAAACTGTTTTGCACAAAGGAACATAAATGAATGGACAGAGAGTTTGAACTATTAAAATTATATATAATATAAATTGCTCAAAATAACCAAGAATAATCATTATTGATATTATACCTTGTAATCCAAGTTCTAGAGCATAATCTATATGTTCAACGCACAAACTCTGTAAAAGAATATTAAATATTTGGACAGCATTTCCAGGTAAATCTGAAGGTCGAGAAAGCTAAAATATAAATAAAATCATTAAACAGTTAATTTTTTATATCTCATAGCTTAAATTAAATATATTTACCATATGACAACGCTGTAATGCCAATTTACTTTCTTGCAATAAATTTATTGCAACCTCCTCTGATAAAAATGTTTCGCCTCCATAATTTTCAACTGCAGGTCCAATATTAATGTTAGTTCTTGTTCCTATTTTAGCTTGAATATCACGTCTCAATTCATGAATACTGTAATAAAAATTACTCTTATCATCAGATCAGGACTTCAGTAATAACTAAAATTCATAAAACAAAAATTATTTAAATACAGTTAACAATACCTTCCAGTTGGAATATGTTTTTTCTGATGATTCTTAGAATCATAATAACGTTGTTGAATTGCCACGCACTTATCTTTTAAGCATTGCATTTCCTTGGAAATATATGTATCTAGACATCTTGAAAAAATATGCCTTGTAAGCTTATTTAAAAAAGTTGTATCACTTCCCATTTTAAATACAGAAAGCTCACCACATAATTTTACTGTTCTGAATAAATATAAGACAAATTACACTTTATTCACTTATAAACTTTATTTAAATTTTTTACTAAATTTAACTTACTTTGAATAAAAATCATACAGAGTTTTTAAATATATCTCTGGATCAGTTTTATTATTTAACTGAGCCTGGATATGTTCCTATAAAAATCAAATAAAAATTATTTTTCAAAGATTCAAAAATTTCAGGTTTTATTCATAATTCTAGAATTAATTTAAGTGATGAAAATTTTTCAATTTCAGATCAATTTTTTAAATTTTCTTAATAATATGATGATCATAATTCATACTTCTCATATTTTTTCAAGTATATGTACTGTACTGTACATATATTTTGAAATATATATAAGTATATATACAAGTATATTATATCTATATGACTGTTAATAATAATTTTTTTTTAATGATTTAATAATATAATTTAAGCCATATTTCTAAATAATTATATAAAAAATAAATAAAATTGACATATATATATTTCAAGTTTATTCATTTTATATATTATATATATGCATACAAAAAATATACAGCATACTTAAATATTAAAACAGCTGTAACTGAAATATGAGAAATAGATGATCAGATGTATATACAATGCAATTTATTATATCACTAATAATGTGAAGAAAATAAGTTTCAATGAAAATAATTTACATATCAATTGAATTTTAAATTGCTTTAAATTATATCTGATTTAATGCAAATTAAATGTATAATATAAATTCCTGCATTTAGCAATACAAAATCAAAAATATGTAAGCATTTTCATTAATTTACATAATAAGAATAAAAAATAATTTCCATAAGAGATTACTGATATTTAAGATATATTCATTATTATTATTATTATTACCATTAATGAAGGTGTAAAGTAATTGTTCTTTAGGAGTTAAAACTCAAGTCAATAAATGGATATGAAAGCTTCTAATTCATTACAAAATAAAAAATTTTACTAATTACTTAAATTTAAATTTTCATAACAATGTACATAAATTACATTATGTTAATAATTTTATGAGTAAAAAATAATTGCAGTTTAATTACACTTACCAAACCATTTCTTTAAGTTTTTTTTAAAATTTTAATCAAATTACAATGTGTAAATGATATCTCCTTTGATGTGTTTAAATATAGTATATATTATTTATTATGAACTAAATTTATTTTTTTATTTTTGATAAGATCAAATTGAACCAAAGAATTTTTACAATGCAATTGTATCACTCCACACAATTTTATTATAATTTATAATATAAAAATTATGGGAATTGGGACAAAAATTACAAATTGTAAAGAACTTTAAAATTTTATTAAAATAAAATGTTTATAAATTTATATACTAATACAAAACATTATTATTTTAAATTCATCAATAAAGAGAATTATATTTTTTTAACTTACATTTTTAAATTCAGTTTTAATTAATTGGATGATGATTGTTGTTCTGTATGTTTCAAATAAATAAAAAATAAAAATTTTGGGGTCTTGCTTGTTTGTCTCTGTCAGTCCGTTCGTCTTGTCTAGTTTGTCATTGTGTTTGTTTGCTTTTTGTGCTGTCTATTAGCTGTTAAGTAGTATTAAGATTCGTGATCACATTGTTTTATTAGTATTAAGTAGATATAAGTCTTTCTACTAACAGCCACTTGGCACTAACTTTAACACTTAGCTATTTGTGGCAGCACTCAATTATTAGTATTCGCTACATTCAGGTTTTCTTTTAGACCCTTCGGAGGGACTACGGCCTTGCAGCCTAAAAACTGCACGCCAATATCAAACAGAGGGTACTGTAGCCTTATGTACACTGTTCAGAGGGATCCTACCTTTCTCTACTGTCTATCTCCTCTCCCTCCTTCTTCCCCTTACCCTCTTTTCTGCCAGCTAAACACTTCATGTACGGCCAATGTCTTTCTTGTATGTATGTTATTTTGTATGATTAACTTTGGTAATTATTTGTGTGTTAAAATTTTAAAAATTTTGAAAAATAAAAACTATTCTTGATCCATTCATGTATATATGAAATTTTCATTTGTTTTGAAATTATATTGAATCTATCAGATTTTGCATTCTTGATAAAAAAAAATATTCTTAGAATATTTTTCTTTATCAAGAATGCAAATAACAAATAAAGAAAAATATTCTAAGAATGTTGTTCTTTATTTTTGTAAGTACAAGAGAGAATATATAAAATATCTTTTCTAGATGTATGATTGACTTTGTATCGTTATTTCTAATTCACGTTAGATCAAAATCATATAAAAACACAGTGCATGAAAAACAGAACTGGGTATATATGCAAAATGAACATACTTAAAAATGTTAAACACTGCAAATCTGCAAAAGCCATAAAAGCTGCATTTTTATGTTAGTAAAAAACTATTAATTACACAATGCTAATTTTCAATTTATAAATTAATTTTGATAATTAATTTAAACCTTGACAGCATCTTAGTAGAATATATTAAATGTTATCAAAAATATTGGAATAAAATTTCTATGAATTACAAAGTTTCATTTGAAAATAGTAAGTTTTCCAAAGAGAATAACAGTTGTAAATATAAACAAACTGCTTCATGCCTGCTGTTTTGCAAGAGGATGGTTATGTATATAATCATCTTTAGCAGATAAATTTGAAGAAAATATTCTGTATTTCTCAAAAAATACTAATTTCTTCATTAATAAATTATTCAAATCACTATAGTATTTAAACATTAAATTAAGTTTGATGAAACATTTAATTTTATTAAAATTAATATGTAGAAAGTTTTAACAGAAGTGACAATAATTTATGTATAACTTAAATAATAAAAAAATGTATAACAATACTTACTTGTAATTTTCCATGAAATATATTAAGAACAAATTTTGCCATTACTTGTTCTGGATTAGTAAATACTTCTTCTATAATTACTTGACTCTTTGCACATAATGGCACAATATCATTAAAAATATTTACTCCTATAAATGCTCCCTATTTATCAAAATTATTATAATAATAAGTAAATAAATTATATAAAATGATCATTTGTAAGAAAAAATCAAATTACCATTTGACTTTGTTCTATGAAGGCATCAATACATTGAGAATAACCCTGAAATTAATTTGTTTTAATGTAACTGTATTAATATACAGAAAGAAAAAACAAACAATATCTTAATTAACATCTAAAGTATCTGCAATTATTTAAAACAGTAACAAAAATAATTACTTTAAAATGTGATAAAATGCTAGCAATTTCTTTCATTTTGACTTTATCGTCAGCTCTATGTGCCCTGACAAATTCCTCAATCAATGCTCGCTCAATTTCATCATACTTCTGAGCAATTCTTTTACGTGCTTTATCAAATCTAAAAAGAAAATCAACATTAATCTTACAAAATAAAATATGGCATAATCAACAATAAAAATTTAACTTAATGAAATGCAAATAATTCTAAGTAAAAGAATGATTAAACAGAATAACTTAAAATAATTCTGAATAATTGCTGAAGTGCAACTTAGATTTATATAAATAGTATTGAAATTCTTAAACTACATTATTTTTAATATATTAAATATTCCTACTTCTTCAAAAGAAGAAATAAATAAGATATGTTAATTTTCTTGTTATCAGAACTCTAAAACAATCAACAAATTTTTAACTTACTTTTCCACAGGCAATTCTTGAGAAATTAAATGTAGTTTTTGA